GACCCCACGCCGCGGGCCACGGTCAGCTCATCGAATCTGATGGCGGACGGACGGACTGCATTCCGCTGCCGTCAACGCCCCACGAGAATCGAGATTGGTCCCCCATCTCTCTCGATCACTCTCTCTTCTCTCCCCCGGCCCCGGCCCCTTCTCCTCACTCGCTCTTCCGCAAACTACAGTGTGCCTCGTCCGAGCTCGTCCTTCAATAACTTGAGATAGACCGATTAATGGCAGAGGCGCCGCAGACGGCAACCTGCTTTCGAGTCCCGTGGCGCGCAAACTCAAGAATAATTGAAACCAGAGACTCGAGCAGGCTGCGTCAGAAAAGAAACGCGAAAAACGCAACCCCAAAAGACGTATCGGAATCGGATGGCGCTTGATACCTCGCATTTTCACAGCCATTGCTTGCTGCAATAAAGAAAAGTCAAACGAACAGAAAAAGGGGTGGATTAAAATAAAATGGGATGGGAAACAGGGGAAATACAAATATGAAGAAAAGAGAAACCTGACCTCCGACCGCTTATTTTTCTTTGTGCGGCGCAAACCGATAATTGGATGACGGAGCGTTGCCTGGCACCCCCGGCGGGCCCACCGAGCCGCCCCCGGAGTCCGGGGCCCCACCGACCCCACCGGCCCCCACCGGGGGCCACAGGACTGGGCGGTCCAACTCCATCAACGTGTCTGCGTCTGCGTCACTCTGATCGCGTCCACACAGTGACGTCACCGGTGGGTGGCCTTCCCCCCTTCTCTCTCTCTCTCTCTCCTCCACTTCCCTTTCGGTCCGACAGCGACGAGGGAGCCATCGAAAACTTTAAAAGGGAGAGAAGGAGAGGGGAACCAGAATAAACAGCGACTGACAGCGCCTGCGAAAGCGCAAAGCGCTTCTCCGAGGAGAAAACTTCATTAAATAGGAGACCGGGTGTCTGACGCGCCCTTCGACGTGACACCGGGTCCCACAGTTAGAGCCGGCACGGGGCGCAGCGCCATCGAGCCGCACCGGCAGGGTGCGCTTCCGATCTCATTCGTCGAGCCCACCTCATAATTCTTTAACCGAGGGACTCGAACAGTCCTCCATGCCCCGCGATCCCTTTCCGCACTCTGAGCAGGATTGCGCGAGCACACACAGCAGCCGAGGTCAGACCCACGTGCTCCGTCGGCTCACCTGTGCGCCGAGGGCGGCCCCGCGGGTCCACGGGGACGGACCCGCCCCGCCCCGCCACACAATAAGAAAGAACACACAATCTCGACCACGACGCCAAGCCACCGGAAAGTAATTACATTGACGGGGTGACGGGTGCGGCCAAGGGAGCTTGAGCCTGAGCCATTGCGACCGGCAAGAGAAAGCAAGCAAGAAAGAAAGAAGGAAAGGTTCGGCAGCCGCTATGTGGGCCTCGCGCTGGGCTCAAAAGTACCGTCGTTGAGTCGTTCCTACTTTGTCGCACTGTCTTTTGTACGCTCTGAAAACGAACTGGGAAGGGAGGCTTGAATCCTATCAAGATCCACTAGTACTCACACGTCAGGGTAATGCACACAATTTGAAATCGATAGAGGGATTTATGAGGTGCACAACCTTGCCGAATCACGATTGTCGCGCAAAATCTTGGCGGAGCCCTCCAGTGAAACAACTTTGAGAGAGGAATGCCCCGCAGCTCGCTTCTCGCCAAAGCGGTTCGCCATATGAAGCTTGAGCGAAATTGAAATTCGGACGGCGTGTTTGACTGGTGACGCCTCAAATCATCTCACGTGCCGCTCCATACGGGGCGCGCTCAGCTAACAAGGGATGGGAGCTAATCCTGCTCCTCCGCCCACCGCGCGTCCTGAGCCAGCCGAGTGTGTGTGTGTGTGGGGGGGAGAGGAGAGGGGCATAGCCCACACACGCACACACTCACAGCTCCCCCACCAGCACTTTTGATTGAGCGAATTACCGAGCTCCCCGCGCGCCTACACAGTCTGGTAGACTCGTGTCGTGTCACGAAGAGAAAGAGCACATGCACCCCCCCTGGGGTGGGCTCGGCAGGGCGGCCCGCCGGTACAATGGAAGGGGATTCCGCATTGACATCACATTAGACCTGCAGCCCCCACCCAGCCCTCCTATTCATTCTCTGCCTCCGTCTCTCTCTCTCTCTCTCTCTCTCTCTCTCTCTCTCTCTCTCTCTCTCGCACACATACACAACTAAAGTAGTTGCTTTGTGGTCATCATCGTCCACAATGGGATTGCAAAGCGGGTCGCTCTGTGCGACCTATTGTTGTACAGGGCACCATTGTAAGCTCAGCTGACGCATCTGCGAACAGGTGGGGGGGGGGGGCGTGGTTGGGCGCAGCTGGCGAAAGCTGCATTCTATCGCAGGCGGGCAGGCGGCGACCGAGGGGGGAAGTCCCACGGGCCGGCAAAGCGCTGCAAGAGACTTATCGCGGACCCGACTTCCATCAAAAGGAATCCACTATTCTACCGGAGGATTTCCTCTCTTCGGAATGCGTATTAAGGAACAGGAAGCCACCCGGAGCCGACGCAGAGAAGAAATTGGGGAGCGGGGACGTTGTCCGATCTTGTCTCGTGTGTCAGACCGAGTAAAACTTGTCCCTCAGAGAAGCGGCACGTGACTAGCCAAACGAGGAAACTAGCCGAGTAACGTCTTACGTCGCGTGTCTCTAATGGCCAAAAAATGGCAGCCAACTCCCAAGTACATTAACGTGTTCGGGCAAAGTTCGTCAAGGGATTTATCAGAGGCATTTTCCTTTGAGCTGACTTGCAAACAACACTCTCACACCCGCCCAGCGGCGGCGTAGGGCACGCCACTATGGCGCGGGAAAAATTACCTCCAACGAGATTTTAATTGGATGTGCAAGCTTTCATGGCAGTGTTGGCCCCAGGTGGCGGAGCCTGTCAAGGGCTAGGACACGCGGCCGCCAGCGCGACGGGCAGGCCCCCGGCTCCCCTCCCCCCGGCACGGCCCGGCACGGGACACCCGTCACAATCGGTACACGGCAAGAACATCCACTTTAAAATTTAATAATAAATAATGTCCCCCCGTCCCCAGGGCCCCTGCTTTCTTTTCCCGCACATGCCAGAAAAGCTTTTCCCTCCCCACGTCGCCACACACACGTGCGTGCGGGCCGGCGCCGAGCACACATGTGCGCGCAACGCGCGCAAAATGAAACATGTAGCAGCAGGTGCAAGGTGAGGAAGGCCAAGTGCTACTACGAGACGAGCACGCCCGGCCCGGGCACGCCAGGCGGGCGCGCCGCGCCACGGCCACGCCCGGCAAGGTGCCCCGGGTACACATGATCCCCATCACGTTCGAGGCAAAGCCAAGCCGCGCCATGAATATTGATGGCCGCCCCACTGCCGCCAACCGCACTGTGATTTGTATCCGATTGTCATGAGAATGGAGCCGTCACTTCATGGCTAAACTACTGCGACAAAACTCATTTCGCCACTTGGTGCCGCGGTCGAATTTTGATTTGGGTGTGTGTGTACGCGCAAAAGCGTAGTACAGCTGACAAAATAAATGGACTGGAAATGTAAGCTGGGATATTTTTTGTTCGTTTCAGAGCTCAGGTAGTTTTGAAAAAGGTCCCCAGTTCGATAATTTTAGTACAATTTGTTTTAGTTTAAAAATGATTTTCTAGTATTTTCTTTTTTCTAAAGATAAAGTTTAGTTAATTATTTTTGGATCCAAGATGAGAGAACAACATTCTAAGCTATTCCAGCCAATCTGGCTATGAAAAAAATCTCAGAAAGTTGATATTACTATAACTTTTCAATTCCTTAAAATACTCATTGACATAATGTTTGCATGTTTCCGAATATTCGGCAAATACCTACATCTTTGAATTACGAAACCCCTGCTCTAAGTCAGACATTTGTCTCTAGGTAAGTAAAACCTCGCAGGGCGTTCCAGAGGGCACCCTGCCCTGCCCTCACCCCACCCACCCCTTGACGATGGGCCGCAGGCGAGATTTCTCATCTCCGAGACCACAACAGCCCGGGGACCCATTCCTTTTCCCTCCCCTGCCCCTCTTCTATTTTTAATTAATAAGGGACATTATCCTCAAGCAGGTCGGGCCTAACGTGTCGCGTGTAATTGCTGCTTAAGCCCTTCCGGACCGCAGCAAGAAAATTTTGTATTCTAAAGCCGTGTCCTTCCTTGGACTCTGCGAGAGAGGCAGGCGGAAGCAGAGAGCTGGATAAGGAAAAACAGAGGAGCGAACAAGAAGTGGTGTAAGAGGGGAGGAACAGAGAGGAGGAAGAGGCGGAAGCCTTGGCCAGGTCGAATAACTGGGATTAGCAGGCGCCATATCACCATAATCGGTTCACATGCCTCCCTGGCCACGGCTCGGCCCGGCACCTTCCCTAGTTCGTGTTTGTCTTGTTCAGTTTCGTCGCAGCACGGCCTGTCCCCCCGTCGGGATCAGTATTACCATTCAGGCAGGTATCTCCTTAGACAAACTCGCGCGGATTTATAACCCGTCCGCACAAAATCAAACATGGGTGAGCAGAATATTTAAGAGGGAGAGAGAGAACAAAGTCATCTACCCACCAGCAGGGTACACGACGATAAAAGCAGGCGCTTCAAAATCAACCAGCACGTTTTAACTCCTCGCATGAAGATATTTCGTGATAGTTAACATACTAATGTGTGCAATATTTTGGGTTAGTAGACGGACCAAAAAAAAACACACACAAAAAAAAACACAAAAAAACAACAACATTCAAATTAATAAATATGCAATCTGAAAATCTTGCACAATTTCCGAGCAGCAGCAGTGCTGGCTTAGGCCTAGCTGGCATCTCATCTCGATACAATAGCCTGGCATTCCGACGAGCAAACAAGCTAGGCTAGATACGTTATTCCTCGGTGCAGACGGTTGACCTTTCAGCTCGGGACCGTGAGGGGGGCCCGGCCCGGCCCCGCGCCAGCGCAGAGTGGCCCGGCCTTCCCTTCCAGACGTCTGCTCTTCACCCCAATTTTCCGCACATTGCGTAATTCATTACTCACTGTGCTGGGCCGGCCTACACCCGCCTGCCCGCGAGCCGCGAGGTGAACCACTGAGACGCGTTGAAGAGACGCTCTGCCGACGCGCGTACCGCCGCGACGAGTGGGGCATCCGTCGCGCCCTCTGCGTCATGGCTGACGGGTACAAAGTAGGCCGGTACACTGAAAGACACATAATCTGAACTGTAAAACTGTATTGTTATTAATTGTTGGGCAAGTGACATCAAAGTTTCATAGTTTATAGTTTTAACTGGTACCTTTTGGGAACAACAATTTTTACCATTATTGACGTGTAGCTTAAGTTGTTTTATAGTGCAAATATCTGTTTTGTGTCAGTCTTGAAATCAGAATTAGGACAATGGCCGTTATAGTTGGTCAAAGATCCAGAACAACTTTCGGGAATGAGTCGACTGCTATCCGTTTATCGCCGCGTTCCTGAAGTTTCGTCACTGCAAAAAAGAGCGAGTCTGGGTTACAATGCTTGGCCTGGCTGGCTTTCGGGATAATTTTTCTCTCATTTTTTTCCCTCCGAGACAGAAACGCTCACCTGTTAATATATTTCCCACGGTGAGCCGGGCACGCTCCAGTTCTATTACTCTGCCTGCCGCTCAGGAGAAGCGGCCCCCGTGCCTCCCCCCCTCCCCCCAGCCAGACCCGCGCCAGCTCCACAACACCTCTCACGTCTCGTATTTTTAGTCGAAAACGAGCAGCTCGGCTAAGTCCGCTTTTCGTGGGATCATATAATTACGCACGGAAGTTTCCATCATGTGCCTTGCTGGGGCGGTCTTAACAAGCCGCGGAGAGCTGGAGGGAAGGCCTGGGAAGGGCTGGGACGGCACAAGGGGCGTGAGCTTTTGGAAGGAAAACACACGAGGAAAATGTTTATTAGTAATCAACGCATCGGTCCAACTGAAACATCTACAATATCAAGGAATTAAAGAAAAGTAAAAGTTGGTTCTGAAGTTGCATTAAACTCAAATCATTTCTCGATTCATTCAAGACACCTTTCTGCTAACTTTGCTGTCGCTCAGCCGAGAATCTCTCGTGGATGATATCCATAACTACAAGAACCGGGCAGCGTTTGCCCTGCCCTCATGTCCTAATTAAATATGCAATAAGTAACACGGCCGCGGCTCGGCCCCGCTCGTGCACCGTCACGGCGCGGAGGGGCGCGAGCGGAGCCAGTTGCAGCAGTGTGTATCGGGCCGCCGCCCTGCCTGCTGCTGCTGAATTATCTAAAATATAATCTTCTAAATTGCTTCTCGCACCATGATGGATATCATCCGCGACGGGAAGCGGAGGCAAGGGGAAAGGGGGGGAGGGGGAGAATCGTATTTCCGGGGGCGACTGCAAACTGTTGTTTGTTGTTGCTGTTGTTGTTCTGAGAGCAGCGTCCCCGCTGTCCCACCACGCGACACAGCGAGGCGAAAGACTGGCCATCGTGCATTTCCCGTTTCATACTTCCCGATCGACGCGCGCCAAAGTCGTGTAAAACTAGGCCCTTTGAATGAGGCGGCGGAGCGGGGCGGCCCCCGGCCGCGACGGGGAAACGAGAGGAGAGCCCCCGCAGCCGCCCCATTCTCCATCCGAACCGGATTTTGGTAATTGTTTTCTTTCATTCCCTGTTTTCGGATGGCGTGTCCGCGCCGCCTGTTGGACCGGCACGAGTCCCTTTAGATTGCGATCGAATCGCTGCTCCTCTCATTCCTTCACGACCGCTCGCCTCCCCTATTCTCCCGCGCCATTCTTCCCTCTCGGAAGATTCCAAACCATTCGGATAAATAAAACGTAAACACAAAAACCGACGGATTTAAAATAAATTCGTTGTTTTAAATTTTCAGAAGGTGTTGAAAAAAACGTTTTATCTTCACCTCTGTGAAAGCAAACGAGAGAGAAATAATTACAGTACACATGTTTCAGGGAAAACCCAGGGTGCACCAAATGCATTTGAAATATTAGGGGTATGAACTCATCGTGTTTTCGGACTCATTTTCGGGCACGATTCACAAAATCCTCAACTACGTATTTGCCGGATTTCGTCGCAGCCAAGCCTGCGGCAGTCATGTTCCCGGGTCCACACCACACCACAGCCCGTCAGAGTGCTGCTGCACGGGAGCGTCGGCGGTCGACAGACATTTAGACTGACGCAAAGAGAGAAATAATAAACGCGGAACACGTGGCTGAAACCAGCGCTGTACTTCGGTGCAATTCACAGTCGGCAACAGACTTGTTTTGGAATTGCAAACACAGCAAAACTGTCCACATAGGCTTTAATCGTATATAGTAGCTGTTTTTTGTTTTTAAAATAGCTTTTAAAGAGGAAGGGACTGACCAACCGGAAAGCAGCACGCGGAAGACGTGTCGGAAAGCCGGAGAGCTCTCTCCAGCCATACTCCCTCCTGCGAAGCAGCTGCTTCCAGCGAAAAGAAAAACGAAAAGCGAAAAAAGGCGTGATTCCACCAGGCACTAGGTCTGGTGCGGCTTTCGACGCGGCTGCAAGTGGAGAGCGTGAGGGTCTTCCCTACAGACTGCGCCAGGGGGGCGCTGCCAGGGCTGCAAGGTCAGGCAATCCCTGCGTGACCCACAGCCACAAGCACGCCGCCGTAGCGCACGCCAGGAGCACGCCAGGCGCACGCCACCAGGACCGACCTCGGGACCGACGCATCGATCATCATTTGAGTGCCTCGTTGCTTCGCGGTTGCGGCCTGTCGGCAGGCGCGGGGAAGGGCTGGCCTGGCCGCCCGGCTGGCCACGAGGCGGGCCGTCGGGCTGCGTCAGTCCCAGAACAGTGTACTTAGGGGGTGGTCGTTCCCACATACTACGTGACGATAAGGGAAAATATTGTGGCAGGGGGTTGCAACGGATCTGGAAGGTTTGCTCTCGATGTGAAATGTTGAAAACAAACGGTCCATCATAGACAGCAAAAACAAATTGAAATCAGCATAACTCTTGGCCCAGGGTAAGGACAGCCAAAAGGATGAGGCATTGGATTTAGGGACCCGTGCGCTCGAACCCATGCTATTTGTTACCAGGTAGAAATAGTTCGGATCGAGTTCGGACTCCAATAGTTATGGCCAAGATCCTATTTTCACCCCCCTCTCTCCCCTCCTCCCCCATACTACCACCACCACAAACAACATCACGTAATTTGGGAACGAACCCGTACCGCAACAAGCGCCAGCGCTTTACTCCGTCGTTAGGTTTGTCGAAACCCGAGCAGCCGGCAGGATAACTGGGCCCCTAATTAGCACCACAGCGACACGTGCGTTGCGCGAAAGCCTGCAAGCGTATCCGGATCCCTCACCGTTCAGAAAAGCAAACGCAGCGCATAATCTGCTGCTCAACTCCCCAAAGCGATCTACTAAATTAAATTATACAAATACACCTAAAATAAAGTGAGTTTATTACCTCGTTGCGTTTTAAGTTGTAAGAATTTTTATCTTCAGACTAGTTTATATGTTGAAATATTTTTTTGTTCTCATGCAAAATGAATGTAGTAACAAAATGAGAAGGAATCACGCCACACGCACTTTAAAAAAAACACACAAAAAAAACAACATAAGGGCTGTAGATTTTGGAAAGAAGTAGTGTGACGCCCAATACGGAACGGCCAATGGTGTCTCTATTACGGAGCCGGGCGGGGCCATCCCTTCGGAAATTGGATCAATCCATCAGGGGGTTTGGCCAGGGTGTGGCTCGGCACCGATGGCCCGGGAAAATACGGCGATATACGGCAATGCAAACTGTACAGCGAAAAAAGTATAAATATCAGCTGGTCCATACACCCAGAAAAGCTTTTCCTTGCATCAATCTTTTTATGCTTGAATCAAGTGCAAAATGGGCTAGACTGTCTCAAGAATAATTTGTACATGAAATAAGACCGGCTGGCCCTCAATTAAAGTGCGTGCCCTTGATTCAAGGACGAACGATCTTTGGTTTAAGTCGAAATTTGGCTTTAATTAAGTGCTGAAGACAGTCAAGAACAGTGCGCTTAGTACAAGAACTCGCTCTTTTGGGTGAAGTCTAGTCCGAGTATCCGAGGGGGAACCCAAACACAAAAGCAAGCGAGTGCGCCAACAGCAAAATTATTACTTAAAAAAAAGAGCTACAAAGTTTGCATGCGAAGGCTACCGGGTTTGCGAAATTATTCATCTTCGCCGGCAAGCAAGAGATCATAATACCCTTTGGAAACTGTACCAGCTCGGTACAGCGCAGCCATGGCGAGCGCACAGCGCAACTAGAAAATGTAATAACTGCCCCAAAGTGTGAAGCACTCGTGTGAGGGGCACCCACCTCGCTGAACAAGCGGGGGCATGGTCGGGAGAGAGGCGAGCACCGAGAGAGACAGCGAATTCTAGTTGTCTGTAGTCCGACCCGAGAGGGTTGGGTGTCCCTTCTAATCAAGGGGAATTGGTTTAGCCTGGTTCAGACAGACAGGTCGTGGTGCGCGTCCACCAGCACCACACGGAAGTGTCGCAGTCAGCCCCCAACCCGCACATCCGCCCCTGACGCGGGTTGACTCCGGTGTCAGAAAGCTGGAGCAAATTCCGACCCACACCAACACCAGTGTTCTTCATTTACAAGTAAACTATCACTTGCCTTGTAGTACATTATCACCCCCACGCCCACGGTCCTCTGAAGAACAAAAGGATAAAGGTTCCAAGCTTTCATTTTTATCGAGCCTTTGCTGCAGTAAGATTGTATTGTTATTTTTTACAGTTAACGCATTGTCTGCGTGGTTATTGTGCTGTCCGTGCACGATTCCTCCGAATACGGGTAAAACGCGGAGGCTACGAGTCTTTTTGCATGGCCCCTGCTGGGCTTGGGCAGCCGTCTCCTTCCCCCCTCTCAACACTCAACAGGACCCCCTGAACACTCAACAGGACCCCAAACTTCCTCTTTTCGAGTCCCTACTTACCCACACCGTCACATCTCAACAAACACGCTTCAATAATTCAAAGTAATTCTGTCCACTGTAAACACCATTCCTCGCAGCTGAAACATATTTTTACCGAGTAAAGAAGTCCGGACTACGTGAAGTCGTGTACAAAGTACGCGAATACTCTCCCCCCGCAGCAGGTGTGTCGCACACTCTTGGATTTCAAGTTTAATCATGTTTGCAGTGCAGCGTGTGCCGGACGGGCTCCGCCGACACACTTCACCGTCGCGAGACGTGGCACTCTCAGAGTGAAAGCGATAAGAGACAAATGGCGACAAGCGGCCCAAACTAGATAAGGGAGAGGATGGGCTCCCCGCCGGCGCGCCTGTTGGTCGTTTATGGACACACCCCGCAACTTTGGTAAGTTAGAGGGGGTCCCAGGAGAGGCCTCGGCGAGCTGCTCAACGGGGACCTCGACCTCTCGACGCACAAACTTGGACCGAGTTGAGCTCGGTATCATCCGGGGCAAGCAGGATCGACGAGCGTCTCGCACATCAGCTCGGGTTACTTACTTATTGTGTCGTCTCTCTGTGTCATTTCTCTCCTCCTCCAGCTGCCTGTTCTGTCGCTCCCTCCCCTGCACCCAACCCGCTTTAGCTGGCTGTAGCTCTGGTTTCACGCGACAACAGTTTGTCTACAAACAGAGTGCCGCCGCAGCGCTGCCGGGCCGGTAGCGTCCTTCCTCCCAGCTCCAGCGAGGTGTACCTGGCGAGGCCTACCCACGTCATGTGCGCTATCTCCAGCGCCGGCTAGCGGCGCTAGCAGCGGATCTGCCGTCAATCATGGCGCGGCACTTCATACCCAACGCACATTCCCGTGCCTGCGGCCCGGCCCGGCCCGGCAGTCCTGACAGCCCGAGATGGCGCCCGCGGGCCCGAGGGTAGGCAGCCCGCTGTGCGCGCCTGTGCACCGGGACGCCAGGCGCGCCGCGCTGCAGGCGGCGAGGGGGAGCCCGGGGCTGGGCGGGACAAAGCCTACGCTCGCTGGCTTGGGTTTATGGGCCGACATGATGGGAGCCCGGCAGCGTTTAGTGGTTTATCGGGTAGGGAAGCGCACGAACATAACGGCCAGGCCTCAAGCTTAAGCGGGGAGCGCGAAAAATTTGCGTTCGATATTCGCGGACGCGCGCTCGTCTTGTTCGCGACGTTTAGAAGACATTTTTCCTCCATGACTTTTTGAGCTGGGCGAGTATGAAACCGAGCCGGCGCCGACTTTTCGAAGTGAGCTGCAGGCTGGCTTGTGCCACAAGAAGTAAGTCCCCAGACGAGTCTCCGGAAAAGGTAAAGGAAGGTAAGCCGTTCCGAGCGTGACGGGATCAGTTGCGTCGCGACTGGAGACTCTTAACAACTTGCTGCTCGCTGCCGCTTGCCGTCGCAGTCACCGTGCTACTCATTCAAAATAAACAAGCTCCTGGACTCATTGCAATTTCAGGATGTCCTCCTGCGCCTGCCGTTCATCTGCGCGGATGGGTAAAGGTAGCGAAGTCGGCGGGGCACAGCTGAAGCCCCTGTCCAACTGCCTTCCCTCCAACCGACTGGCCGGCACAAGGAAAGGCTTACCGTGTTATTCTCGCGGGAAAAATATTGCGCCGCCTGACCTCGCGACCTACCTCTACTCCACCCCCCTCGGGCTTTCATTGGCCTCTGAGAAACTAAACAAGCCCCCAACCCCACCCACCCTACTCTTCATAATTCTTGCACCGTTTCCCACCAATGTTTGCGGATAGATCGCCGTAAGAGTGTTTGAAATATATTTTTTCAAGGTGTCTTTAAAAGCCTTATAGAGGAATTGGGAGCTGGAAGACTTTCCTTTCCGGATCAAGAGTTATAAAGCCTGTCACCTCAGGCAAAAACTAAGCTCTCTTCCACCCACCCCTCTTTTCCCGCGCTCTCGCCCATTTACGATCCAGCCCGCACCTATCGAAAATGCGAAAAGCCCCCCTCAAAGCCGAGAAAGGGGACTATAGGGCCGGGCCGGGTGGACACCCCGCTCCGCCCTCTTGATTTTCACGGTGAGACAGTGCGAGTGACGAGGCTTTGATCTTAATTAATTACAGAGCGGCTGCCAGCCCGGGCCGCCCTTGGCCGACAAGCGTCCTCACGGCAAAGTGACATCGCGAGGGCACTGGGCCGGCCATAATGATAACCAATCAAGGAAAAGCGGAGCAAATCACCAGTTTAGATTGTGCCGCAACCTAAGAGGACATTAACAAGCAGACCTTTCCGCCAAACGGAGTTGCTAGCTTCGCTTCGCAGCCAACTCCGTCCAGCAGCAGAGGCCAGACCTGCTTCGTCTGCGGCCTACCGCCTGACCTTTACATCACATTGCACTAACTATCGCTGTGAAAAATATCGTCGTAAATTTAATTTTTTTTGTAAACTCGAATTATAATTTAAGTTGGAAATTTACGAGAGCAGTTTTTTACTCGCCACTTAGATTTTAAGTCTATACGCACTGTCTGCGCGGTCGGTCAGAAACAGGGAAAACGCTCATCTCTGCTTTGAAGTGTTCAAAAGTAAATTTGAGCACTTTAAAGTGTCCAAAGGCTCATGGCCAACCCCGGTGTTGAATACTTCTAAGTGTTCAACTTTACTGTTCCACACTTTATAGTATTCAAATATCTAGTCAAACACCTAAAAGTGTGCGACATAGTGTTGAGCACTTGCATGTGAACGCCAGTTGAACACCTTATTCATCAGTGTGAGCTCTGAATTTTAAAAAATGTTCATAAGATTTTAGTGTGAAGCAGTCCCTTTCAGCTGATGCAGACCCTCTCTTTTGGGAGTGCACCTCTTTAGGATGCACAGACTGCGTCTCATCCTAATTCGTACCCCGGGCATGGTGGCGTCTGTGAGCCGGGTGGAAAAGAGGGGGG